CTAAACCATATTCTGCAAAACCTCAATATAACAAGTTGTGTTGCCGATTTTAATGTAGCTTAAGAACTCAGCTGAACTGAAGCACTTCAAAAGACCTACCGTACTTTATTCTGAAAATTCAAAACCACTGCAAGCATTTACAGCAGAATTCAGTTAAGAGACATTTGGTGTTTTTAAAAATCTAAAATGTAGTGAATACTGCATTCTTTTTTCTCATGGATATGAAAAAATGGTTTTAGAATAGATTACTTATTTCTTCTATTCTGGTGAACCAAATTGTGGACTTCTCAATAGGCTCCACTGCAATCTCAGACTGTTCTCCAATGACTCTCACTCTGAAATTTCAAAATTATAACTTAATTCTACATGGTATTTTAATATTTCTGTTTGCAGTAATTGTTTATGAAATAGATCAACAAGGACATATGCTCATTTTTGAAATAAATCATGGCTGTATTAATATGCTAATCCCCTAGGATGCATTTAAGACATCTGTTTGTGGAATCATTATTGCTACTGAATCAGTAGCAATAAAATACTAATTTTATAGAGTTGGAAAAATGGTTAAAGATTTTCTTTTGTCACATGCCAGATGAATGTCATATACCAGATGAAATCCCACAGATGAATTAAGTATTTATAGCCCCCAAGATTTAAAGTGAGGCAACTATTTTCAGAATACCTTGTTCCTTGAAATGTCTATCAGAACTATTGGGAATGAGAAAATTATTGGCTTATCATTTGAAATAACAAAAACGTTTCTATCTGAAATTCAGGCCAACAATGAACAGTTATCCACTGAGACAAAAAACTATTCACTGGTTTTATGTTTTTTTACATTCAGTTATATAAATTGGGGATGTTACTAACTGAATAGCAAATTACAGGTAGTTCTCAACTTATGACCGTAATTGGGATTGGAATTTCAGTTGTAAGTCATGAAGGAGGTAAGTTAAAGCACCCGCATGATTGCACCTGATTTCATGACCGTTTTTCTGCTGGTCATTCAGTGAAATCACATGGTGATAAATTTGAATCCATTTTCCCAAATGGGCTTTCTTGCCAGAAACCGGCAAAAAACAACGGAAACCGGGAAAAAATCATTGCAATTTGTGGTCATACGACTGTGGGATGCTACAACCAGACCAGAAAAGTGAACCAGTTGCTGAACACCCAAAATGTAATCATGTGACTGCAGGAGTGTATATGCAATATTTCATGGTGGTTGGAAGTTTAAGACCCTTGAGAGATGCAGTGCTTAAACTGAAACCAACAAATTTGTTTTGCTGTTTTGTTTCGCTTATTATTGAGTTATTATTATAACTTTTCCCTCTGTATAACTACTTTCTCTCCCGATTGGTATCGTAGCTTTCTTTAAAATATTTTATTATTAAAAGGGTTTGGTCTTATATGCCCCTGTAATCCATAGAGACTTTGCATTAGTTTGCACTTTCTGTCAAAATTTCCTTTTGTAAATCCCCAGTATCAGTGTTCTCGGGGGCAAGGGGAAGCTGACAAAAGCAATACTGAGGCCTTGTGCCAGAACCCACATCATTTTTCTATACATCATGACACTGTATATAGGTCCCTGGAAGTGTGGCATAATGCCTAAAAACATGTTGCTTCAGCATTTAAGTTGAATTTGTTTTAAAACTTCCTGCTCAGAACATATATCCTATTGTCTTTCTACCTTCCTTTAAAGAAGGAATAAGAATCGCTTTTGGGGTAGGGGAAGAAATCTGTGGCTTTCCAGATGACCTTGCTTTGCAGCTCCCATCAGTATCTGTTATATGGTGAAGGATCAAGAAAGATAGATGTAGTTCACCAAACCAGAGGTCTAAGGCAGGGGTCTTCAAACTTGGCCCTTTTATGACGTGGAATTCTGGGAGCTGAAGTCCACAAAAGTCATAAAACGGCCACGTTTGAAGACCCCTGGTCTAAGGCCTCTTCCTTATCAGGCACCAGGTAATAATTGACATATCAGGTACCAGTTGACATTTCTGACTACAAGATATAAGTTTATTTATGTTTTCTGGATTATTGCCAAAGCACTAGCTATAGGTATCGTATGTTTTAATGAATTATTGTATTATCCAACTTTGTGCTAAAGCATCTCAGAATACTTTTGAAAACTGCCAGTCTTCCAGCCTCTAAATATTACTAGCATCACTACATCACTATCAAGCAGCTGGTACTTTACAAGTTTGAATTGGGTATCTATTATTTTATAGCCAAAACATTTTGGTCTATGAAGATATCTGCAGAGAATAATCAAAGATAATCACAAAGTGTCAATATAAATTCAAGTCTCAGAACTGCAATGCAATTTGAGCATCAATAAATGTAATTCAGATTTTCTATACTCAAGTTGTTATCTATAAAATATATTTTATGAAGGAATGGCAACGGCTCAGCTGGTTGGCTTGGAGGTGGTTGATGGACTTAACAGAGAAGATGTGACCAATGTATCATTCTGGCTTGTTTTTTTTATTTTGTACCTAATGTTAATTTTAAATTACCCAGAGCAGAGTGAGACAAGCAGCTTGTAAATTTAATAAATCAATCTTAATATTATTTTGATCATTTGTAGTTTCGTTTAATCTGATAAATATTCTGAAACTTCCTTTGTAAAGTTTGTTGCATGTTTACAATAGCAAGGACAGATAGTGATCTTATAAATCAGGCATCAACTAGATCACGTCCTCTGCAGTGTAGTGTATTTAAACCACATGAATGAGCCAATCTATTGTCAGTCCCCATCACCTTTTTTCCAGCCCTCTTATCTTATGGGGGGGGGGGGAAGCACTGACAATGCAGAGCCCTTAATTTATTTTTATGAAACTTCCCAGGTAGGAAAATCTGGCCCCTAATCTTTGAGACAACAGGTGATGATTTTATTTTCCAAAACCATATCGACCATTGTTTCTGTGAGTCTAGTAGCTGGAGGGCTCTGAACAATTATTACTGACATTTTATGAAATGATCTTCTGAGGTTAGAGAAACTATTAAATATTTTATGTACACGACAATGTAACCAGAGGAGCATGCATTACAGCAAGTAATAGCAATAGCAGTTAGACATATACTGCTTTATAGTGCTTTACAGCCCTCTCTAAAGCGGTTTAGAGTGAGCCTATTTTCCCCAACAATCTGGGTGCTCATTTTTCCGACCTCAGAAGGATGAAAGGCTGAGTCAACCTTGAGCCGGTTGCACAAAAATCTGTAATCCGAAACTCTAGCAGTCCACTTACAAAGACATAAGCCCTACCTCAATTTGCTCTTGAAAGGCAGCCATATGCTATATTACAAACTATCATGTTTCTAAGGATTCTACTTTTTCATTCACCCTTCCTAATATGGGATTCTGTCTGAGAAAGACTGCCCATCACTGTTTCTTCAAGTCACGTTTGGGTCTCCTCCAGCACGTGTTAATGTTTTTTAAACCAGCTCTTACTATTTTATCAAAGCCAATGACACTGACCAAGAAAATTAAGAGTATTTTTGTTCATACAACTGAACCAAGTTAAGAAACTTTGTGCTTTGCCCTATTTTCATATAATGCCAAAATTGTGCACCAGATCAATTGCCCATACCCAAAGTAGGAATACTCCTAAATCTAGAATTAGCTTTTAGGTCCGATTATCAACATGATTTAGAATCTCATGCCATTTTATTTTACTGCAGGAAGTCAATGTTCATACAATGATGGAATTGTGCAACCTAAGAAAATAGTTATGGACATCTATCCAAACAAGTGATCTCAAATTTATGGGTTCAATTGCCTTTCTATATCATTGAGATATCACCTTGCTTGCAATTTAAGAAGTATTATTTTCTTATATTGCTGCTGAAATTAAGATTATCCCTTTAAGTAACTAGATCAGTGGTGGCAAACCTATGGCACACATGCCGTTGCCCCAGCCCCACCTCCCCCCACAATCCCCTCCTCACCAGCAGCCTGCCTGTAGATGCTCCCCCAGGCGCGACCCAAGCGGAGCAGTGCAGCCAAGCACATGGCAGCTGGGCAGCAGGGGCAAGACTCCACCCTTGCGCCCCATGACGTGCAGATGCTGCGGGGTGCAGGGCGGAGGGCGTGGCCACCATGGCACTGCAAGGCTTCCTGGGCGATCTGTGGTGAGTGGCCCTGCAGGCGGGTGGAGTGGGGGGCAGAGCAGGGCCGGGCCGGGGGGCGGACCAGTTTTTGGGCACCCGGTCTCTAAAAGGTTCGCCATCACTAAACTAGATAATGCCCCAAAGGTGATATACCAAAGTAAGTTAAGCAAAGTTAATTAGCGCTGTTTAGTAATTTCAGGAGTGCATTAAGGGAATTTAGTAATAGACTAAATTTGTTTTGTTGAAAAATCTAGTTTTATAAAAGTGTGGTCTAAAAACAGCTTCTTTGCTGTTTCATTCTATTTTATCAACTTAGCAGAATCTTAGCCATTGAGAACATATCACCTCACATTCTACAGCCTATTTCTTCTATATTTAGACAAAACTATTACCGGTATCGCACAGAGTTTTGGAAACTGCTAGTGCAATACAGCCAAGCAATAAAACAAAAGACATACATTTCTGCTTGGCATAAACATTTTTTCCCATATCCACGAGTTCTCAATTATAAGAGTCAGGACTATTACAAAATCTGATGGATTGTCCAAGATCACAGGGTATCTGAACTGGACCCCAGTAGCTTTAAAAAAAAATCACCACCAAGTCACAACGCTCCCTTTGAGAGCAGTGTCAAACAACAGAAATGGTAAAGCTTAAGCAACAGCAGATAGTTAGTAAAGCTGGATGGGGAGCCACAGAAGGAAACAAATGCGGCAGCAACATTGAGCCCATTTAATTTAGATGTAATGCGTGAAATGCCGATTAAGGGACCAGCAGTTTATATTCACCCAGTTTTAAAATACAACCCAGCTCAATAATAATTTGAATCACAATATAGAATATTTGTAACCACACTTGCTTACACAATTCAAGAGACAGACTTTGGCTGCTGAAGCATTTATTACTTGAGAGAATACATGGAGAATTACAAGGCAAAGTGCTACTGAAGACAAGCTACATACCCGCGTACACACAGTGTGAATCTTGAACTGAGTGCATAATACTTGAGGGTACTTCAAGTGGAGTGATTAAGTAGTACAAAGTCTTAGGATTTTAAATACTATAAACGTTCACCTGAAAATGTTAGTCATAAACTTCATTCAAACAGAGCAGTGAAGTTGATCAGAGTGCTCTTCTAGTGTTAAAATAATGTGGCTTAATGTTTTTAAGAAATAGCATGAGTGCAAGGGTATCGATATTCTGATTACCTTACAGTATTTTTTTCCCAAAGTTCTTTTCTAATTAAGTGGTTTGCTTTGTTTTCTAATATACATTGGAAGGCTTTGTTTTAAAGATCAATTCCTAAGGCAAGATGGGGCTTCATAGCTAAATAGCTGAACAAGCTGTAGTCTCCAATGTAATCAGCTGAGGTTTAGAAGTCATAAGGCACCCACATTTTTCAGTCCACTTAAGCAAAGGACATACAACTTAAACGTGCAGCACTGTTTCATTATGACAGTTCCCTTTGACAGAGAAAACTTTAATGGAAATAAAACAAAATTCTGCTACTGGCTAAGCCATCTTGTTAGTTAGGGCACTAAATGTACATTTGCCTGCTGCAATTTATTCTTCCTTTTGTTCAGGCCGTTTGTTCTCCTGGTTGGTTTTTTTATCCCCTTCACCTTTGTGCTCAGCATTGTGAGGGCCAGCCAATTGTGGGTAAAAGGGACCTACCAGCCAGTTGAGGGGTGTGTTGTTAACAAGATAATCCATCACATCATCCAGCGATTCTTTCATTTTCTTCAACTGGCCTTTACTAGAGGTAAGAAGGTTGTCAGACACTTCTCTGAAAGAAGAGGCTGACCGGAAGCTTTTGTACACGTCTCCTGCAATTTCCCCAACGTGGTGAACCTGGTCCTGAACGTTCTGTGGCAAACCCTGTATGCTGGACACCAGCGTGAGGCAGGTGGTCTGAAGCTGCTGACTCAAGTTCTGTGCAATTGCTAGAGTGCGTGATTCAATGTGCTGAAAAAGAGAACAGCTCTTAGTACAAAGAGTTCTTTGCAAACAGTTTTTAAATTTCACAACTTAAAACAGTATCTTTGTAATGCAGTGGTTCTCAACCTTTTTAATGCCGCGACCCCAACCGGTCATAAGTCGAGGACTAAACCGGTCGTAAGTCGAGGACTACCCAACCGGTCGTAAGTTGAGGACTTTCCCTGCCCGGGAGCGCCGCGCATGCGTGGTTCCGCCCCCTGCGCCGGCCGAGGCGTAGCTGGCAAGCGGCAGAGACGGAGCAGGCCGACCACCAGCTGGCCCAGCTCAAGGGAGGTAAGGCACCCGCCGGAAAAGGGAAAAAAAATGGCGGACAGCTTTGCTTGGCGACCCCCGTGAAATGGTCGATCAACCCCAAATGGGGTCGCGACCCATAGGCTGAGAACCGCTGTTGTAATGCTTCATTAGTGAAGGACGTAGGGAAACCTGTAAGTAGGACATCATCGCCTAATGATGTGAGCAAGAGCTTCCAGCATGGACATACCCAACTTTGGAAGCAAAATTGGATTTAGCTGGGGCATTGTAATATGATTTGATCAAATCCCACCTTTATTTATGAGCCCTGGTGGCGCAGTGGTTAAAGTGCACTACTGCAGGCAAACTCTGCCCACAGCCTGGAGTTCAATCCTGACAGAGCTCAAAATTAACTCAGGTTTCTATCCTTCCGAGGTCAGTAACATGAGGACCAAGATTGTTGGGGGCAATTTGCAAATAATGCTTCTACATTGTATACTGCCTAGAGAGTGCTGTAAAGCATTATGGGGTGGTATATAAGCCTAAATGCTATGGCTATTTCAATCCACACAATGTGGAATGGATCCATCTTCCCTAGTGTAGGATCCAGCAGAGAACAAAATAGTTTGTCAATTCTTCTTTCCACCTGCAGCGTAATAAAATTTTCATGCTGTATAAGAAACTCTTCAATCCTCTAGAACAGGAAGAGAATTTATAATGATGGAAGAATTGATTTTTTAAAAGTCTGCCTTGCCTCTTTAGTTCATATTCCTTTAATATCTAGCGTTTTGAACTCTTAAACTCTTATATTCCACTGACTCTTATACTGGCTTGCATTCTGTAAAGTTTTTTAAGGAGTGGGAAATATTGCCTTTATAGCTCATTATTTTCTATAAAAAGTTTTTGGGAAATAAGCAATTAATGCACAATAGAAACAAGAATAAAATTTAAGCAAGTAATTTAATCCTAAATACAATATCACAGCTGTAGTTTTAAGGTAATCTTCAGGACATTTTATTGCTAAGTGTTTCAGGTGTACTCCACATGTGAAACCAAAAGCCAAGCAAAAGATAATTACTGACAGAAAATAATAATGCAATGGAGACCCTGCTATTCTCTAAGTATGCAGCAGTAAAATGAAGCTATTTATTTCCTCTTGTGCTCTAGTCTAATTATCTTAATTTCTTCATCAGCTTCTCTAGGTGATTCTGCAAATTACAGTTAGACACACTGGACAACGATTTTTTTTCCAAATTTCTGCTTCCTGAAAAACTTTTAGGTTATTGTGATAGACCCCTTCAAACTGAAAACAAATATAATTTTAGAATGACTGTATCAATTAGGGACCTTGAGAAATATGAAATTAACTTTTAATAATTATAAGTATTTAATTGCATAAGGCAGAGGTCCCCAACCTTTTGGGCACCAGGGATCGGTTCCGTGGACAGGTTTTTCTGCGGACTGGAGGGTGCATGGTTTTGCGTGCTGCCTGCATCCTACGGATGGGGCTTTGATTGTTTGTGTGGCCCGGATGCTGGCATGCTGCGGCCCTGTACCGGTCCATGGACCAGGGGTTAGGGACCCCTGGCATAAGGTTTCCGACACACTGCTGGAGTTCAACTGGGCCAAAAGCATTTTGCTGCTGATTTCCATTTGTACATAGAGTCAAATGCATTTCATTGTAGTATCTAACAGTATTTAGACAGTATTGATGGATTCCAATTGAGCTAATACTGTTTTTCCATTGTGGCAATGTAGAATGCAGAAAATGAATCTTCAGTGACATGTGGCACTTCATGGCCTTGCATGCTGTAAGAAGTTTGCCAACCAGCTGAATGTAGTTTAGTGCGCTGTAGTTGCCAAGAAAATTCTCAACACATCCTTGAATGTTTTCCAGGCAATTTTGTCTGGCTCCACTAACAGATCTTTGAACTGCTTGTCATTGATGGCATATCTCATATGTAGACCAATAAAAATGCCTTCCTTAATCTTGGCATCAGTTATTCTTGGAAACATCTGTCTCAAATAATGAAAACCTTCACCTTCCTTGTTCATCGCTTTCACAAACGTTTTTATCGGTCTTGAGTTGTATGTGAAGCGGAGGCAAAAAAATATCTTTCATGGGTCAACAAATGAGTCATGTGCCACATTATTCTGTCCTGGAATCAAATGCTTTTGGAATAGCCATTTCTTTTTAATTTAATATGACTCTTTTGCACAGCTGTTCCATTTGCATAAGGAACAATACTATTTAATGCAGGGGTTCTCAACCTTGGCAACTTTAAGACTTGTGGACTTCAACTCCCAGAATTCCTCAGCCAGGCATGCTGGCTGAGGAATTCTGGGAGTTGAAGTCCACAAGTCTTAAAGTTGCCAAGGTTGAGAACCCCTGATTTAATGTATCTGAGCTATATTCCAAGCAGCACAGCCACCTCATTTAGAACTCTACATACTTGGTATACTGGATGTGCTTCGACAACAGTTCCATGTTTTCGTACGTTTCTTTCACGTGTGCAACAATGCCAACAGGTACTGAAGGATATACATTGCCATTGTATAAAAACAGAAGATTTCTTTAAAACATAGTAGGTGATAGATTAAATTACAGGTAATTTTTGTGTCTAGCAGCCAAACATCTATAAGATATGCCCAAAAGTGTTCAGGAAGCAAAATCTTTGTCATCGAGTGATAGCAAAGTCATATATTTGAGATCAGCTCCTGACTAACATGTTTCTGGTTTAATTGTTAATGCTGCTGCCTGTGTTACACAATGAAAAACTTGTTAACACAATATAAACCATGAAAATGTCACTTTTAAGTGGAATTAGTTCTTTGTCAACGTATCTTCAGCATGTATTCCTTTCCACTTACCTCAGCACTGTGTGAAGGTGCCTCACCATTTTGGCTAATGTTTTTCCTCCATTCTGTCCAGGAATTATATAATTTCTGTTGAGCATCTTGAAGTTTCACGTTAGCATTAGTCATGTTCTTTCTGGCATATTCCAGCTACAATGCATAACATATACCCAAGTTTACAAAAGCATACAATCCTCTTTTTATTGCTTTTAAAATAATGACCAAAAAAACTGACCAAAAAAAATAAAATATGCAACCTCTTTTTGATGTCATGATGTTAAGAATCTCATATCCTATAGTTGTGTTGTTGTTTTTTTTTTAAAAAAAAGGAATTTTGGTCTCTTTTGGACCATCTGACTCAGAAGAAGCAGTAGTGACTCCTTTGGTAGCTGTGAGAGCAATGACACACAGCTGGTAATTCGGGACTGCTGTGTCAGCTGTGCCCTTTTGAGAGGTTCACAGTCAGGGTGCATGGTTGAAGGCTAAGCCTCTCCATTTTCCCCCCATTGTTGAAAAGCTCTGAAAGATCCTCAGACATTTATGGCTATTAATTTGGTTGCTCTTGAATTGACAAAATATGCAGTCTAGCGACCTTGGACATGTACGTTCAACAGAGCTCTCCAAAGGAAGGCAGAGCTGGACATGGGAGAAATAACGATCTTCTCCCAGAGATTAAGTGAGAGAGGCCACAGGCACCCAGTACAAACCGAAATTACACAAAAATTATGAATTGTGCATCAAGATGATGCATGCTCCACATTCTGTATTTTCAATTCAACACTGTAGACAGAAAGAGTGGCACTCGAGTCAGAACACAAATTTCATCGGTTGCCCTACTTTGCTTCTGGAAGGCCTACAAGACGGAGGAACACTTTTCCACTGTTGTAGAAGAAAAAAAAAGGTTCTATAGAGATTTTTAGACACTTATTGCCAGATAATACTTTGTGAGCTGGCTGTAGCGTTACTCAAAAATTGGATGCCCACTCTGCATGGAGAGGTCATGTGGTCCATTTGGCTTAGCACATTTTGTACTGTGGTTTATAAAATCTGATTTATGCCTTTGTGTTGTGTGAAATCAGGAGCCTATAGTATGTTCAACAACCTATGGCTAATGTAAGCCAATGTTAGTGTACTGTGCAAATGTGTCCTATGTGCAAGGTAAGCATTTTATTCATGCTCAAGGCTCTTGTTTCATGCTATCTCATATTTGATCCTGGGAACAAAAGCAATTCAGCAGTGATGTTCAAAAAGAACATCCAAGGAGAAATAAAAGAGTAATTAAATTTGTTGCATAATCTTGAAGGAGTTGCATGATCTTGCTATCAGTATTGACTAGGCTTCACTTGAGGTAATTTTTCTACAATCTTTTGTAGAACTGATGCTTGAAGATTGTCTCAAGGTGTTTTTTTTTTAAGAAAGTCAAACGTGATAGTTAAACATCTTAATTCTGAAGGTTTGATCGGAGTTCAACATTGTAAGTATCATTAACTTTCAAAGACCACAAAAAAAGGAGAGGCTTGGAAGAGCAAAGAAAACACGCATGCTGCAGGAGACCACAATATTACTGATATAACTTACTTAAGAAAAATATCATACTTACCAGGTTAACAGTATAATTGAGCTGAGAAATTGTCTCTTGGCTTCTGAGCTTAGCATCCCTAAATGCATTTAGAGTCTGTTGATAGGCACGTGCTCGAACCTTTGAAGACAAAGATCCTAGTCTAACATAGTAACTTAGCTTCTGATCTCCAGTTTCAAATCCTTTGATGTTGGTAGCTTGTTTTTCTGCAGTCAAAATACAAACCTATTAGTCTTGTCATCAGGCCCATATCATGTACATACACAAAAAGTCCATACTACTTCTTAATGATAAATTGGCTGGCTCAAATCAGGAAAAATTATTATCGTCACACAATAAGGAGGTAGGGGTCCCCTGTTAATGGTCAGAGGTATACTTTGCAAAAACATAAGTTCTTTGAAAAAGCCACGACAGGTGAGGAATTACAAGATGGGCTCTATTGTTAGAAAGCATACAGTCATATAACTATACAAACTGGCATTTGTATACAGCCATGTTTCTCATCTGTAGCAATTTTAAGATATGCAGACTTCAATTCCCCAAATTACCCCCTTTATTAATTTTTACTTCCCCCTTTTATTGGCTGTGCACTTTAGTATTATTATATTCTGTTGTTTTGCAAATACACTGAGTGTTTCTGTACTGGAGACAAATTCCTTGTGTGTCTAACCATACTTGGACAAATAAATAAATCAAGTATAAAGTATAAAGAATTGCTGGTTGGAGAATTCTGGGATTTGACATCCACATACCTTAAAGCTGCTAACATTGGTATAGAGCAAAAATTGTATCTTCCTCACTGCAACAGAAGTCATTAACCAAATCACAACAGTAAGATTTCCAATCCCACATGCGTATTAGTAGCTTTGGACAGAGTCTTCCAGCAAATCCTTACCCAGTTCTTCTGTGGTATGTGGAAGGTACTGATCAACCAGAATTTCAGACTTGCTGAGTGCGGTATCCACCCCGATGGTCACTAGGCACACCATACGACTCTGCAGAACAGTGTTAATGCTGCCATGGACTGCATATTTAGTTAGCTCCACACTGTCCAGAACAACTCCTTTTGTCTTGTCAACAACTTCACTAAGGGTGTGTGTGACTGTATCCTTGGCACCAGTCACAGTGGTTGTTACGGCATCCCTTGCACCAACAACTGCATCCACAGCATTGGCAACCACCTAAAAGAAGTTAAAGATGTTTCTCCAAGAGCTAAAAGAACATAGAGATGTAGTCTATTTGCTTTAATGTTCAGTGATGTCAAGTGGTATCAGGTACGTCAAAAGCAAGAGGTTATAGATTTGTTGTAAGGAAAAAAGATGGGGATTGAGATCATGTGATAGTAAGAAAGCAGAATGTATAAACTTGTACTTCATGTCTGTCTTCTCTTAGAAGAAAACAAAGCCTCAATTGGTCATCACTGTTTAAAGAACTTAGATAATTTAAATGAATGCAGGTCTCCAGGCACAAATGAATTGTATTCTAGATGCTAGTGGAGGCGATTGCAGAACCACTAACTAATTTTTGAGAACTCTTTGGACCGCTCATGTTATCCTGTTAATAAAATGGAATACAGACTAGATGACACAACTGTGAAATGGAATCTTAACTGGCTGAATATTTACACCATGGGAAGTTACTGTCCAACATTCTACTCTGCCTTGGTCAGGCCCTAGGTGGGGTATTATGTCTCATTTTGCAATTTAAAAGTACATTGACAAACTGCAGCAATTTTAGAAGACAGCTGCCAAGATAGGAAGAGTGCTAGAAATCAAATCCTGTGAGGAATAAGAAACCAGGTATGTTTAGCGGGCAGAAGAAACACCTGAAAGTAGATAAAATAGCACTTCAAATACATAGTGTTTTTCAGAGCATTTTTAAGATGAAATATGAGAATCTTGCTTTAGGCAAGATGATTGTAGATAGCCAATTATATGACTTTTAAACATTACCAATTAAACTGAACACCATTTTATATTAAGTTGGTATACTGTATAATCTTCCCTTAAGTTGAAGGCCCTGTTTGCTCTTTCATTAGGTATTGGGGCAGAAGTTTAGATGGGACTAGAAGAAAACCTAAATTTCCTGTAATTTTGCATTTTAATTTTATTAAATCTAGCTACCATGATTTACCTACACTGGTTGTATTTTTTTCAACTTTTGAAATATTCCAGTAAGAACTTTGAAAAGTCTCTAAGGAACCACTCTCAAGCTTTCAGCTGCCATGCAGAATTCCAGTTTGTACGCATTTTGCGTACAATCTGCAAATCCTCACAGAATTAATATAAGTCTAGGAAAATCCTCCCCAAAATCCAGCATCTCCCAAAAGAGGTATAAATATTTTATGTCTTCCTTGCTCACAGGAGATTATATAGATTAGAACATTTCACAAACCTTTAGGGACAGATGGAGTCCCCTTTCCTAAAAACACTATATGACATTTTATATGTGAGACTCTTGAATTAATCTGTGCACGAAATAATACATGCCAAATTCATGAACAAACCTTTTTTTTTAGTAATTGATACCATAGTCAGCCCTTCAGGTTTTTTGCACAGCTTCCTGAAATTGATTTAGGGCTAATTCAACCTAACCCTCCACTGAATGTCAAGTACTAATCCAGATCATTTGAACACAGCACCATTATGAGATAATGGGATTAAAGGCAAATAAAAATATGCCCAAGCAACCTACCTTATCAGTTGGCTGATACAGTATAGGCAATTTTTCTTCAACTTTGTCCAATCCCATGCAAGCATAGTTATTGGCCACTGCAACTGCAACAATTAAGGACAGTTCAGATATTGCTGATAGAACAATGCTTTCCAACAATTCTGTGGGGTGTAGTTATGGATCCTTCACTTTAAGTAGAATAATTTGGTATTAACAGTATTTGAAAAGGTACCAAAATGGTAAGTAAAATTATTATGGGGTTGGAGTGTCATTTATTTGTTACATTTGCTGCCCATTTCACCATGGGGGCTACTCTAAATGGCTGTACTACATACTAAATTTTTTTAAAAAACGTTCATTTGTAGATGTTTGGCATGTGCATTTATGTACATATACAGTAGACAAGAGGTTTGTGTGAAGATATGAATGGACATGTATGACAGAAGCACTACAGGAGACCACAGCATATGGAAAAATACCAGACTGAAGATTTCTAAATAAGTTCAGTAAGGGGTGGTTTTCAAAACAAGAGATGGTTCCTAAGTAAACTGGATGAAGTAAAGGCTTTCAAGTGGAAAAATACCAGAGATTGCGATAAAAATGCCAAGCTACATGCAACGCAGGCTGCATATGGATGGGGGAAGGGGTATTGGGCTTTGACATGAGCTCAGATAGGCTGGGGAACCAGGACATGGGGTAGTCTCTGTATGTGAGCAAAGGGAGGCGGGGGTAAGGGCACTGGGTGAGTACATATCTGCAAGTGCATGTAGGCCAAGAGGGCACAGAGTATACGCATGTGTGAGAATGCAGGGAGGCCAAGGAAAGCGGAGGTGGAGTATGTGCATGTGAATTCACGGAGGCAGGAAAGAGGGTAAGGGGTACTTGCATGTGTGTGAGAACAGGGAGATCAGGGAAAGGGGGTACCTTATGTATCCATGCAGGCGTGTGCAGGGAAAAGGGGCATGGGGTGAATGCATGTGAGCAGTGACACATGTGACACACTTGTGACACAGGGAGAAAGGGTGCAGAGTGCATGAATGTGTGTGTGCATAGGGAGGCCCAAAAAAGAGGGCATGTGTGCAGGGAGGCAGGAGAAAAAATGTGTGGGATACATTTGTACGTGCAGGATAGAGAGGTCAAAGAAAGAAGATAAAACGTGTGGTCAGAATTTCAAGGACAAATCTAAGTCCCTTTATTCAGCACTGTTATAACTTAAATTGTTGCTGAATGAATGGTCGTATCTGAAGGATTACTTATCATGAGGTAAATGCCTCTGAAACTTAAGTCTAAAACCTGAGTAAGAATGCACATGCTTATCTTTGTAGGAGTAAATTAAGTTTTTAGGTCAGAAAGTGGGCAATAAATGCTATAAATCTGCATCTATTTCTAAGTATCTGGATTAACTATAAAACTGGAGTTCTTATGAAACTCTCCTTACAACTTTCCTGAAAGGAATAGCTGTTCTTTGAGGCAAGCAATTGTAGCCTTTAAACTTACTACTAAACAAGTGTAAGGAGAGCCATGGCAGAAATATATAAAATTATACATAACACAGATTAACATTACGTAGGAGAGATAGGTTTTTCCTCCCTTTTAATACACTGACAAAAATCAAGGTCACCTGCTGCAACTAAATGCAGGGTGAGGTTCAGGATTGATGTAAGGAAACCTTTTTTTTGCACACAGCCAATAAATAATAAATTGGTCCCTTCGTGTCAGCCTTGACCCGACAGATGACTATACAAGGCCAAACAGTCACCTTGGCAGGGCCTGTGGAAGTGATTGGCTATTGCTTTCTTCCTAAAGCTAAGAAAGAATGACTGCCCTAAATCACCCAATTGGCTTTGTGCCCAAGATGGGAACTAGAACCCAGTATTCTGGTTTCCAGGCCCATACCTTAATGGCTGCACTAAACTGGCTGCCAGCACATAAACAACTGAATTTGCTACAAACATGTGGAACAGCATGTCTTCATAAAAGAACTGTTCCATTGTTTTAAAAAAAGACTGGACAGATTCATGGAAGATCAGTCTAGCAATGGTTGTTTGTACAGATTATTTATTGCTTCCTTCTTTACAAACCACAGTGAAAGGGCACTAAAACAGTCCTAGTTTATGACCTTCCCCCAAGGCGGAAGTGACTACATAATATTGGAAATAGCCCTTTGGCCTGATCCGGCAGGCTCCTCTGAATTAAGGAAGTATCAAAAGCTAGTTCAGCTTTTTTTTGTGCCATCATAAAACAGGAAGCCTCCTGAATTAATATTTTAAGGCCAAAGTTGAGCATAAGATTCCCACTAGCAAGCTGAAAGAGCCCTCTTAAACATGACCAAATATTTCCAGGCCTGCTGTCACTTTGCAAGATTAGGTTTTCCCTTAAGTCGACACCCACACACAAGGGAATACTGTATAAAATATAAAATGTAGTTTCTGACAGTGAGGCATTTACAAAGTAGGTGAAAGGTAAAGGCAAGTCCTTGGCTGGAAGTGAGTGAAGAGTAATGACTCAGCAAGCTTGAGCAACAGCTATTTATTTATGCATCAGCTTATGAATCAAAGTTCTTTCAAGTTCCTGACACATAAGCCATTAGAATTTTAATCTTGGAGGCTAAACCTATTTAACTTTAATTTTAAAAACTCGAAGTTCAGCCATGGCAGCTCTTAGGCTTGCTGCAGAGACATTAGCAAAAATTCTCCTAAGATTTATTATTTGAAGTAGATCCTGTAATTCCAGCAAATAACATTTTGAGAAAATGTTCTGTTTGAGGTGCACACATTTTGGCCTTGGTGTCAGGGCCAAGTCACAAACTCAAATTTGAAAAAAGGGATGTAATATGCAGCAAGCAGCATATGACACATTAGGAGCAACTGACCTCCTGCCATCTCATCTCATCTACCATTCCACCCACCTTTCATATCTATTTCCAAGGTCCCAGCATTAATCTAATCTAATCTAATCTACCATTCCAGTCACCTTTCACACCTATTTTCAAGCTTCCAACACTCCAGGGTCAAATTTTGTTCCAATTCTTTTAAGGAACTGGAATATCAGAGATGCAAGGGTATCATACATTGGAAAGTAAAAGGTGTTAAAAGTGCTAAGAAAAAGAAAAAGAAAAAGTTCCAAAAAGATATGTAGTAGTAGTATTGTGGCTTACTTTGCGGCTCCAATTTTTGGATGATGGGCAGGGCACTGGTCAGGGCCACTGCTGTAATAGTCTTCACTCCTTTCTCTGCCATCTCACAGACAGATTTAAGATAGGGGTAATTGTCTTTTGTGCTGATATAAGCAGAAGAGACCATATCGTAGGTGGAACTTACCAGGGGCAAACTAGCAACCCTGGAAACCACATTCTGTAAAAATACAAAATACAAGATGATTTACTCACAATTCTTCCTCAAAAGTTGCCTAATGTTCTTTATTTAATTGAGACATACCTGCTGGGCATCAGCCGACACCGCTGCCATCTTTTTGCCTTGATTGTTTTAAAGTCTGGAAGAGGATTACAAGTAGTAAAAATTATTTTTAAAGTTATTTTTAATCTTTGACAACAGCAAAATATTTAATACCTTTTATTAATTTCTAAACATGTGCAGGGGAATGTTATAAGTCTGAATATTTGAAAACATATCTTTTCTAGCTATTTGTAGGACAATGCAAAAGTGCCAAAATGTAGTCTTTTTAAGCAATACTCGCTAAAGCATACAAGATGCATAAAACATCTAAAAGATTTTGACAAAATTATTTACCTTTCAGGACAGTTTGACTTCTGACTTCAAAACTTGCTAAATTTAAAAAGCTAAAATTCAGCAGAGGAAACTTAAATTTGAATCAAGATTAATAAAGCTGGGAGCTATGTTCTGGTTACCATACAAAGCCATAAAACAGGAGGCTTTAATAATTTGATTCCAAAATTAAGGCAGACAAAAAGTGGTTTTATATTCCAGAATGTGTTGATAGCTTTCATATCATAAGTATATTGTAAATAATTTAGCACCACTGCAGCAGGTGTGGCAACAGTTTCCTGAAGCCATGATTATCCACATTATGTGACAATGCATTATTCTTACTAAAATGTTCCGAATTATTGTTCTAGCTTATGAAAAGATATCTCTATAATCATAAAAAATCTGACAAGTTCTATTTTATTTGGCTATTATGCATATAACATTTCACTCAACAGCACGCTTTCTTTGCATATATAGTAAGGCTTACTTTCTAACAAGCATTAAAAAAACATATCTGAAGGCCATACAATTAGCAAAAAGATTGGAGTTCAAAACTAGACTTCTTTTACCAGAGTTTTTTTTTAATGGGGCAAAATTATATAAAAAAACAGCATTCTTTATTCTGTAAAGTGTACACACAGAGAACACCTTGCCTTATCTTAAAACTTAAAAACACATTCCATTCAATATTCCACAAATTTCAGTCATTTACTATTTCATAGAATGTAATTAAGTGGCTAAAAAAGCCAGGATGGTATAGTGGTTAAAGCACAAAAGCTAGAAATGGGCAGACTGTGAGTTCTAGTCCTGCTTCAGGCACAAAGCCAGTTGGCGGCTGAGTCAGTCACTCTCAGCCATAGGATGAAGACAACAGCAAACCACTTATGAAAATGTTGCCAAGAAAATTGCAGGGACTCAGGCAGTCCCAATATGCCTTGAAGGAACAAACACCCACATATACTATAGAACAGCTATAGAACAAACTCACTATTCCAGAACCTTGTGAATCAATGCATATTGTTCCCAACCCATCTTAAATATCAGGATTCTTTAAAGTTTCAAGATTAATGTGTTGATTAGGGTATTTATTCACTGATTGTTTTAAAGATACCGGAACAGAAGAAATGTAGGAAATGGAAACATACAGAGGTTTCAAGTGAGCGAGAAAATAAGTTCTACTTATAAATAGGACCGAGATACTTTTCAGCACTAAATGCATATATTTAAACTTTCCGTCTCTTTTCCGTAGCAGGATATTTGTTCCAATTCTGAAAAAGGGTTGATTTGGTGGGGGTTTTGCTTATAATCCACCAATATATCCATAAGTATTCCTAATGCTTCAGCTATTGGCCAACACCCATCGACTAGAATTACATCCTAATCCTAAAAACTGTAAGACATGTTAAGCACTTTTCCCAGCAACTACCAAATTCAAAGATTGGGAAGGGAATAAATAGGGTTAGGGAATTAGTTTTCCCAGGCAACATTTCTGCCGCTTCCAAAGTTTTTTTTCTCTGTCTCTCTCGGGCAAATGCAATCCTTTTGCACCACACATTTTCTCTGGGAGCTATTTTTAAAGAGGGGGTTCAAAAAGAACCCTGCAATCACACAACTGCATCCATGGGAAAGACGCGCCTGTAAGCCCACCCAAGCATTTCTTTAGCCTTTGCAACCCTTACGCGAGTGCTTCAAAGCCAAGTCCAGGAGAAACAAAGGGACTAAATGCTACAGATCCAGAAGAGACGTACAGCCACCTTTTTCCTTGCAGGGCACGCAAGAGAGCCTCGGGGGGGGAAAGAGTTACTTTCCCCATGCTATGGGAAGAGCAAGCACGTTTCCAAAGCCACATTTCTTCGCACCAAGGTGCAATCTCGCCGTCAGGATAGTCCCTCGGCTTTAGCTCCTCCGAGGCTAAAACGCAAAGGTCCATCCTCCCCCACTAGGCAATTGCTACCTTGTCCCAAGAGTGGATACTCACCCGGGAAAAACCAGATAGTAAAACCTGTACGAGCAAGCTCACTCGCAGACGAAGCACGTTAACTCACGACAAACTGTCAGAGCGCGGGTGCAGCCCCGGGCAATTTATGCAGCGAACACACCCATCCTCCGTCCCTCCAGCCACATCTCGCGAGAGAGCTGCAGATCAGGCCAGTTGGAGCAAACCTCGCCCTCCTCTCGTGATTCCTCCTAAAGACCTCGCTTTCCCGGGAAGTTCTGTGTTGGAGGCCGCCTGAAAAGCAGCAAATGCACCCTGAATGATTTGTTTTGTTTGTTGCCGATTTGATCCCTCGCCGTGCAGCTGAAGTCTCGCTGCAGAGGGAGGGGGAGGGAAAAAGGCGCGTGGGTTTGATCGAGACGCTCTGTAGCCGCCCTTAGGTCCTCGGAGAAGCGCGTTAAAAAAAAAAATGAACGAAATGCAGCGTTGCAAACCGGCATGCCCCATTGAGAAGACCGACGGGAACGCTTGGATGGCTTGAGTTGCAGCTAAAACAAGGAACGCGCTTTCTTTGGAAGGAGAGGATGCTGTATTGGGTTCTAAGGAATTTAAGATGTGTGGGAAGTCAAGAGCCCCAGAGAAGGAAATATTAAAAGGGCAGAAATATATATTTCCTCAAAAGTATTTTAAAAAGCAGAAACCAACTTTGGCTCCAAATCTCTCTGCCTCAAGCAAGACCTAACCCCATACAAATGCAGATGTAAAACCATTAGAAAGTTGAAGCCGGAGCAATCGAGAAGACAAAGAGAAAATCTGCATGCCCCACCCAAACTCTAGGAGTTATTAGCCCCATCACCTGGGAAGCAGGATATGATAATAGGATTAAACCACAGATATCAAGGCCTAGGAAAACACTCAGAAATATCCTCAAAGTTCATGCCACAGGAACAGGAAACTATTCCAAACAGGGCTAGAGAGGGTATAAAAAACCTACCCATGTGCTCACTCTCTTTCTTCTCCTCTGCTCCTTGCAAGGACCATCTTTCTTCTGCAATAAACTGTAACCTTCTTCCCAAAGCAGTTGCCATGTTTGCTTATTTATTCCCGGCTTGGATGAACCAGGATGAAGACTTACTTCTATCAGATAAGATCTCCTAGGTCCACCTCTGCTCCTTAGGACTGCAAGGACGTGGTTAGTTTGATAGATTTACATTGCGTTTTTCATTCCAGAGCTCAAAGCAGCAGTGTGAAATTTCTTTTTTTTTCTTTTAACTCTCAACAACAATTCTAGAAGGTAGGTTAGGCTGAGTGAGTTGTCTGGCTAAACGTTACCCAGTGAGGTGCCATGCTTGAGAATGTACTTAGAACCTGACTCTTCCTACTCCTAGACCAGTGTCTTAACTATTACTCCATCTTGGCCCCATTTTTCTTAGCAAAAATGCCTATTAAAATGCAAGTGACTTGTTTTACGTTCCTACAGCCTGCCCTACAATCATCTGGTAAGTTTCTCATCCAGCCAGGTTTTACTCTGCCTTTTGAGATCAACTACATTCAGCTATGTAACATCTAGGGCTCATCTAATAAAAGTATATAGCACCCAGTAACTTATTCTGTAGTAAAATGCATAGGACCATGTGGGTATACCTCTGGATTTATTAGGGCTCGTTAAGTAGGCATAGGATTGCATTTGTTTTCATAAACAAAATCCCATGTCATTGGCTGCCAAATACAGATCTTGGTGGGAAATGGCTGACTAGATATAGATGGAGAGATGTCTTTGAATAGATAGATACCTATCTATCAGAGCTGATTTAATTTGATATCTCCCAGCAAGGAGCGGCCTCAACAGCTGAAATGGTCCCTTCCGGTTTTGGGTTTCTTTGATTCTAGTTTATAAATAATAAAGATTGGCTTCTTTGTTCTAGCTCATCCTTTTGCAACTGTTTTAGAAATACCTGTATTTTCCACAGTGTTTCCAATGATAGAAAACTAATAGTAGTAAAGTTGGAAGGATCTGCATGGATTATCTGGTCTAGTGCTTGGCCATGTAAAATAGTTAAAACCATGAGAGGTAGCTGCTTTCTATCAAATTAAAAATATACCAAGTTCCTTCAGCCTATCATGTCTTCACATACTGAATCATCTTTGTAGACACCCTTTGAATCCCAATTTTCTGGAAATGAGGTTTCCATACCTGTACACAACACTCCCAAGTATGTTCTCACTAGCACCATATAGAGAAGGCTAATGATAGTATGTGTCTTGATGTAATGCAGTGGTTCTCAACCTGTGGGTCGGGGGTCGCCAAGCAAGGCTGTCCGCCATTTTTTTCCCCTTTTCCGGTGGGTGCCTTACCTCCCTTGGGCTGGGCCAGCTGGTGGTCGGCCTGCTCTGTCTCTGCCGCTTGCCAGCTACGCCTCGGCCGGCGCAGGGGGCGGAACCACGCATGTGTGGCGCTCCCGGGCAGGGAAAGTCCTCGACTTACGACCGGTTTAGTCCTCGACTTACGACCGGTTTAGTCCTCGACTTATGACCGGTTGGGGTCGCGGCATTAAAAAGGTTGAGAACCACTGATGTAATGCTTCTGATGCAGCACAAAACCGTAACTTGTCCTTTAACATGATTCATGTTAAAACTTCACACTGATCACAGCCAATACTTTCTCAGATGTTTCCAAGCTATGAACTTCTATTCTTCTCAGGTGGTCTTCCAACTTATGCAGATGGGATTACCATCTCATTCTATCATGCTACATATTGAATAGACATCCCAAATTTGCATCATTCACACATTCAATAAGCAGCCCATCAAACTCATCCAG